GGTCAGTCACTCTCTCTCAGCCCAACTCACCTCACAGGGTTGTTGTTGTGGGGAAAATAGGCTGAGTATTAAGTATATTCGCCGCCTTGAGTTATTTATAAAAAAAATAATAAAGGCAGGGTAAAAAAATCTTTAAAAAACCCCCATACTTATGCCTTATATCAAATTTTTAATATAGATTATCTTTATTATTCTAAACAGCATCTGAGCTTCCTTTCAAATATTCTTCATTTTCAGTGTTTTATTTAAATTCCTATGAGGAAGACTGCAATGGCAGATTGCTTATTGTTAATACAGAATGGGGTAGAAAGAGGAAAAAAAGGCATTTTACTTCAATATCTAACCATGACAGTGAAGTGAGATTGGGATAAATTCCTTTAAACAAAGTATATACTGGCTTGGACAACTGCCATATAGATACCGTCAGGGAAGCATTATTTATCTCGCTTTTCAAGGCTTAATGCAGGTGAAGGAGATTCTAGCAGAATGCTTGGTTATTCACACTCATTTTTCTTTGTTTAAGTCAGTGAAAAACACTTTGCTTCAGTTAATGAATGTTGAAATTATACTATTAATTCCCTTAGATTTGGAGGCATGAAGCAGATTAGAGCAGTGGAAATTCAAAATGTTGAAATGCAAATGAACTTCAGTCGGCTATGATGATATAAGTTAAACACTATAAGCCCTCCTGAGGCTTAAAGAGACATGGACAAAGCATCTTATATTTTAAATAGAATGAATTGTTTACCTGCCTCTAAAACAAGGGAGGAAGCATTTGAAGCATCTATGCTTCGAAACACCTTTCTTTTCATTTCCACAGGTATAAATGTGATTTTGCACATGATTTTAGACTTCTCCCATCAACTGGGAGTTCCTTTCAAATATTCTCAAATATTCAAATATTCTAGCAAATGTTCTCTCCAGAGAACAACCATCAGTTCTTCAGGCCAGTTGGCTCCCAACCTTCACTCCCCACTCAAACTCACAGGCTCAGTCGTTTCACCATGCTCTTCCGTGGTTTTGGTGATGTGGTGGTCGTGTCGATGGCTGCTTCAACCTCACAGGAAAGCGCATAGCTGCGAGATTAGAGACCACCTTCTGATTAGAACTACATCAAATACTGCTACCATAAAATGAAGTCATGGAATTAGATCCAAAACTGGGTTTTGTACTTCTGAACAAGGTTTTAAATCTAATATAGGCATTACTTCAAATTAAGTAGCTATGTTACTATGAGTTATTCCAGTGTTTCTCAACCTGGGCAACTTTAAGACATGTGGACTTCAACTCCCAGAATTCCCCAGCCAGCATGGCTTAAAAGTTGCCCAGGTTGAGAAACACTGAGTTATTCAATAACTTCTGAATAACTGCATTTTTTTTCCTTTTCAGAGATGCATTTTGAGTTATATAGAAACCAGGATACTTCTTGGGTTTATTCTTCTTCCTCAGCTCCCATTTTTGTATGAGCCAGGATGGGTGCTTTTCAAGGTACCTGCAAAATATTCTATATTCTAATATAATATATTCTAACTCCATGAGCAGACAAAATTCTGAGTACCAGAATAGAGCGGGAACAAATAAATGCTCAAGTAACATGTACCCCAGGCCTTATATTCCAAGGCATGCACTAAGAAGAGAGGAGAACCAACAGTACCCAGAAGCACAGACATGGACACAGAGTATACTTTTATGTTATGTGCTAAATCTGTAAATAAAATCCATAAAATGCAATTGCTACTCTGCCTACTCAAATTTAAACTTTCAGGGCTCACAATTAAAATTCAAAACCTGAAAATAGTAGGGAAAGAGAGAAAAGCAAGCTCTGCACCTGCTTAGTGAAATTCAAAGTGACACAGGAAAAGGAAGTTGACATAACAGACAACTTCACATGTTATATATAGCTGAATATTGCTGTAGATGCTGGTTGGCTATTTTTGGATAAGCCAAGAATCAGAAATTATTAACAGATACTACCTTGGTCTATCATTTCGGCTTTAACAAAAGTACTCTGAAGTGTCTGGAAGGCTTAAAATAAATCTTTAGTTCAGCCTTTCTCAGCTGGGGTTTTGTGAGAGATCATGACTATTTTTTTTTTTTAGTTTTACACACTGTGCAATGCTAGCACTTGCAGTGATGGGAACTTTTATGTGCTGCGACTCAATTGTTTTCCTGCCACTTTACTTGTTGTGGTAAACATTGTAAAACCTGGATTGGGTAGGCTAAAAGTTTGTTGTCTTGTGACGTTTTTGTATTTTTTGCAAAACACAGCTGTCGACATAAACATTTTTATGCAGAGGTTCCCCAAGACCTAAAAATTATTTCAAGGGTTCCTCCAAGGTAAAAAGATTGAGGCAGGCTGCTTTAGTTGGTGAAACTATCAGATCTTGGGAGAGAGGTGAAAAAGGCTTGGGAGGAACAAAGACTTACATGGTGCAAAGAACCACAGGGTTAGTGGATTTCCTGCCTCCTGCAGCACTGTTTCCAGTACGTTTGGTTATTAAATTCATAATAAAAAGCCGCTACAAGGCTCCCAGGTAGCTTCACCCAAATTAGAATTAGCCTCTCTGGTACTATGCCTGGAACTCCTCACTGCTTCATGATGTGAAGAGCTCTACATAGACTTCTCCAGGGCTGTCCACAGGGTATGGTCAAAAAAGTCAAGGTGGGGCCCCAACAATGTGATCAAAGCTTTGCCTGGTTGGGGTGTGTGTGTCTGTGTGTGTGTGTCTGTGTGTGCAGTGTACGTTAGCACAGGGGTACTTATCCCTCTCTGTATGCCCTTGTATACATTTCAGAACTGCTTGTAGTGTCTTGCACATTCCACAGCAATTTTAAAATATAATATAATATTATTTTATTTATTACATTTTATCATATTTTATAAGCTAAATCCCAAAATGGGAGGGAATTCCTGGAAGCTTGATATTCAGAAAAGTCAGCCATCAACAGGCACATAGAGATAAACAACATTTACACACTATTCAAAAGAGACAATAAAAAGCTTGATATTCAGAAAAGTCAGCCATCAACAGGCACATAGAGATAAACAACATTTACACACTATTCAAAAGAGACAATAAAAAGCTTGATATTCAGAAAAGTCAGCCATCAACAGGCACATAGAGATAAACAACATTTACACACTATTCAAAAGAGACAATAAAAAGGAAACAAAAAGACTAGAAACACCTCATCGCCAGCAAACACCCAGATAAGCAGGGATTAATACCAGAATTAACACCAGACAAACAATCAAGCTGTAAACAATACCCTAATCAAGGAAATACCAACTCAGACAAACAATCAAGCAGTAAATAACAGCCTAATCAAAGAATTACTGTACCAAGGAGAAAAACAACACCCCCTCCAACATTGACAGGGCAAGCTACTGTATATAAACAGAGAGCAAGCTCCATTCCCATCCAGCACTGAAGATGTTATCTAGTTGAGGACTGGCATATTGTACCGTCTGCAAGAAAACAACCAAGCTCAGAGAACCCCAAGGACTCCACAAAATATAATTTTGTTCCTTTATCTCGGATGATAATGGAGAGACAGGGAAAGAGCTGGATTATGCAAACAATTTCCTTCTTGTTGCAAATCCAAGTTTTACCTTACCTCTCTTCCTCTGTTAATTGCCGCTGTTTCTGGAACCACTGGATGAATTTTTTGTCTGAAGTCATGCAATAGCTATTACAGGAAGACTGTAGGAGTTTAATCTGAGCTATTACTTCAAATTCCTGGAAAAAATAATGAACAAGAGGAGGAGTCTGAATGAGGAAAATGGAAGCCCAATACATACTGTCTCCGCAGCAGAAGGATGCAGGACAGTTAGAGATGTTGAAGAATTCATGACAAGTTTACCTACAAGCATAATACAATTTAGTTCTGAATGGCACTAAGCCTCTATACTTTCAAATGAGTTCATGAACCTGAAGGATATTCCTTGCTTGTTGCTCTGGAAGCTCTGAATGGCAGAACATGCAGGGTTCAAAACTGACTTGCCCACTTACTATGTCAGGAGACCTGCCACGCTCTTGCAAGTGTACTAAGCCGATTGCCCCCTCCCAATACCTGAGTTAAAGAGAGGGAGGGATGATCTTCAGCATGGGTAGGAGTCATTGGTTTTAACTCTGCCCTTGCTGGATGCAAAAAAGAGCCAAAACAAGCTGGATGCTGGAGCCATCGTCTCCACCCGTGGGAACTCCAACCAGCCACCAGAGGCAAAGAAGCCCTGTTTGCCTCCTCTTCTCCTTGCTAGCTCTGAGCAACAATGACTGGTCTATGGGTTTGCAGGGCAGATGGAACCCAGTGCCTGGCATGCACAGAAAGCCTAAGGACTTGCACTGCCCTTCACCTGCTGTGGGCCAGCAAGAAGTAGCCCTGTTTTTGTTGCCCTGTTGCATTTCAGAGAAGTTTCACAAGAGCAAAAGCACATCCCGACTATGAGACATTTTCCATTGACTACTGAAACCTTCAAAATGCATTGACCCTGCATTGATAACTCTTTTAAAAAAATAAATACAGTAACATGAATCCATGTGGCTGGCCATAATGCTTTTGTAATAAACCGGGCCAAAATATATATCAGAACAAGCATCTTTCTAACATCAATATTTTAAATGAATGGTGTATCCTAGAAAATCTCATTGAAAACATCTTTACATTGGATATCATAATTATGGTGATGACATCATGCAACTCCCTAGATGGCATCTATCAATCCACATTTACAAAAAATTAAATGGGCGAAATCTCACGGAAGAGTAATCTTTTGCAAGATTTGGGTTTGTTGCTCAAGATTTTGTGAGGTTTCAGAGAGAATGTGAAAGTCTTGTGAGATTTCAGGTAGCAGCACAAAATCCTGCGGATAAGAATCCTTAAAATTTGGCAATCTTGAAACATTCCTGCACCAAATTAGAGTGCTCAAGCCACCACACATTATGTGATGGCATATTGTACAGCCAATCAGAACAGATGAGGAAAAACACAAACTGTGCTCAAATCTGAGTTGAGAGGAACCATATTCGATACACCAATAGTCTGTTCCTCCTGGGACTTGTTTTACAATTCTAATTGAAAATGTTAAGCAATCTAGTTACATTGTCTCCTGTTTCTCTCTAAAGAGAAGAAATAAATCCTCAGATTGCTGTGGACCATTAAAATGCCACTGAATGGTGGAAAGAAAATGCAAGCTTACCCGCCTTCTCTTCTCAAAATTTATTAGCCCTCCCTGCAAAAAATAAAGAATGTACTGTATAGTTACAAAATCCTGCATTGGTACTGGAGATAATAAAATGGTTACAAAGGAATAAATTTTCAAACTTCATCTACTCTTCCAAAAGGCTAAAACTTTCAAGATTGGTTCCATGAGGATGCTTTTAAATCTCACTCTGCGATCAATCATGGCCTCTCTGCCATCCTTCCTTAAATAATTTGGAAGCACATATATTCTCTCCACGCTTTACAGCGATTTAATTATGCTAACGCTGATGTACAGCCACATAACATGCCTATCAGCCTGAAGCAACTGCTTTCTTTACATCTGCAGGATGCCCTTCCCTTCCCTTCCCTTCCCACAGATGACTTGGACTGTGCAGGGAACAATTTTGCTTGAAGACATTAATTAGCTCTGGGTTTGTAGCCTCTTATGTGGCACAGTTTACACAAATTTATACAAGTTATAGAGCGTGCTCAAGTGCAAGAATGGGTAGCTTGAATCACTGAGTTACAAATCCCTTTTCTACTGTCCTGAGAGCCCCTTCTGTCCAAAACTACCATAAAGCATCAGCATTGTTTCACAACATATTGAGATGGGAAGCACATGAAAACTATAGTGGAAATCCTGAAACAATTTAACATTGCAGGAGTAGGAGGAGGAAGAAGAGGAGGAGGAATTACCTCGAAAATGTACACTCCAGTTCAGGAAAAACAAAAATTCTGCCCACGTGTGTGATTAGATTCAATCTACTTGGCCTCCCAAAACGTTCTGTGCAATTCTCTATTCCTGATCTACTGAAACAGCAGATTCTTACAAACTGCATTTCCATGAAATTATCTAAGCAATGAGCATTCCTGCTGCACTCCTGTGGGGACTGTCATTAAAACTGGATCCAGAACTTCTTTGAATAAAGCCATTTTTACTGAATTCATTAAATAGAGAGGATGTACTTGTGTAGTGTCATCTGCCAAGTACAATCAAACACTAAAACACTAGTTAAAAGCACTAATAAAACCAGATCTTCAAAGCCTGGAACAGTAAGAACAACTTCTGCTGTCGTCCCAAAGCTGGCAGCATAAGCAGCAGGCAAATTTCTTGGGATAATTCCAAATGAAGAATACCAGAGCATAGGGGTAGACTGATGCAGGAGTGAATGTCTCTGAAGAAAAATAAAGTAAAAGCTATTCTGGGCTTGTAGGTAAGCACTAAGACAGCCTTCCACAACTTGGTGTCCTCAAGAATCCCTCAGTCCTTTATGTCTGATTCGAGGCTCAGAGTCAGACCTCCAAACAGGAATGAGATTAAAAACTAAAAACATAACCAAAAAACAATATAAATTACCCAAACACCATGGAACAACCATAACCCACATTCACCCTCCTGGACAGACAAAACAGCCCATGATGTTGAAGGGTACCTGGTTGGGAAAGGCTGCAGTAAACACCCAGAACTGAATTAAAAACTGATCAGAAACCAATGCAGTTCTTTCAACAAAAGTAAGATGAGTATTTCCAAACTTTCATGCATTTACCCTTTTGGGTCCTCTGCCATAGTTTTTTAAAAAATTATTTAGTATTTACACCTACTAATTTCCTTTGACCCCACTTAATAATCAAACCAGTGAGTCCATCATTTATGAATGATAACCACAGTTACTGGCAGAAAATTACATCTATAACCGTATTTGTAGAATTTGACCATAGCTCTAACATGTTGCCTTAGAGCAGTGTTTCTCAACCTCAGCA